CCAGTAGAAGTTATTTGCGTCAAAGAATTTCTATGCTAGAACGTTCCATTCCCAGTAAAGCTTTCCTCTTTACAACAGAGGATAAAGAATTTGTTCCACGTGAAGTGGGGAGTTCGATCAGAATTCAAGATTTTCTTTGAACTGCAATTTTCATTGGCAGTATTCTTCCCAGGAAGTTACTTCCCCAGTGATATCAATCGTTCAAGGTTGATGGTTTTGAATCTCAGTTCCCCATTAAAATTCATATGGCATGCTCTCTACAGAAGATCAGATGTACAAGAATAATCATTCGAAAGTTCATTGTCTTCTCAACATTCGATTATTGATGTGTTTTCCAGTGCATTACTAAGCATGCATCATTACATTGCATCTACTAAAACGTGTAGCATTCCCATTGTATGGAGCATTACGCTATATAAAAATTCAAACATGCATGAGTATAAGCCAATTATGTCCACCTGTGGTAACCAGATTGTTATACGCTCAGATTTGATTTATCTCTACAACAAGCCTAGGGTAATTCTATTATGTTTCCCCATCGGAGTTTGTTTTGATTCACCACCATTCGGGTCTTTGGTATTTCTCCATTCCCCCAGTAAGTTTGTGGTTTGTGCTTGTCTTTGCAAGCCTTTGGTTATTTTCCCCGTGTTTACTTTGCCGTTAGAGTGCGAGTGAGATTCAGTGTATAGCCTTTCCCGCTTCTCAAGTATTTGAGTATCCATACTTGGTGTGTGGTAATTTAGATAATTGCCACTCTTAAAAAATTCCCCCCGGCCTTTGGCCAGAGGGATTTTGTAGTTCTTGCGTATTTGCAACCTACCGAAATTCCAACGTATTTTGGCAATCCTTGTTAGAGTCTTCTTTGACCAGTCTCTTTCTCTTGAAGAATTCACCTTTGATCAGTGATCTTTGAAGGTCCTGCTTAGTCGGTTCCTTGTTTTGGTTTATCCGCGTTAGTCGGGTCCTCCTTTCGTTAGCTTAGTTAACCTTTTATGTTAAGAGTCTTCCAGTGTCTCTTTAAAGTCCACCTTCGGCTGGCATCCTTTAAAATCCACCTTCGGCTGGTATCATTTGTTAAGAGTCCCCTTTGGCTGGTCTCTTTTCATTTTTAAAGTTCGCCCTTGATCGACGTTCTTTGCCCTTAAAGTCCACCTTCGGATGGCATCCTTTAAAATCCACCTTCGGCTGGTATCATTTGTTAAGAGTCCCCTTCGGCTGGTCTCTTTTCATTTTTAAATCTCTCCCTTGATCGGTGTTCTTTGCCCTTAAAGTCTACCTTCGAATGGCATCCTTTAAAATCCACCTTCGGCTGGTATCATCTGTTAAGAGTCCCCTTCGGCTGGTCTCTTTTCATTTTTAAAGTTTGCCCTTGATCGGCGTTCTTTGCCCTTAAAGTCCACCTTCGGCTGGCATCCTTTAAAATCCACCTTCGGCTGGTATCATTTGTTAAGAGTCCCCTTCGACTGGGCTCTTTTTATTTTTAAAGTTCGCCCTTGATCAGCGTTCTTTGCCCTTAAAATCCACCTTCGGATGGTATCATTTGTTAAGAGTCCCCTTTGACTGGGCTCTTTTTATTTTTAAAGTTCACCCTTGATCGGCATTATTTTCCCTTAAAGTCCACCTTCGACTGGCATCCTTTAAAATCCACCTTCGGCTGGTATCATTTGTTAAGAGTCCCCTTCGACTGGTCTCTTTTCATTTTTAAAGTTCACCCTTGATCGGCGTTCTTTGCCCTTAAAGTCCACCTTTGGCTGGCATCCTTTAAAATCCACCTTCGGGTGGTATCATTTGTTAAGAGTCCCCTTCGGCTGGTCTCTTTTCATTTTTAAAGTTTGCCCTTGATCGGCGTTCTTTGCCCTTAAAGTCCACCTTCGACTGGCATCCTTTAAAATCCACCTTCGGCTGGTATCATTTGTTAAGAGTCCCCTACGACTGGGCTCTTTTTATTTTTAAAGTTCGCCCTTGATCGACGTTCTTTGCCCTTAAAATCCACCTTCGGCTGGTATCATTTGTTAAGAGTCCCCTTCGGCTGAGCTCTTTTTATTTTTAAAGTTCGCCCTTGATCGACGTTCTTTGCCCTTAAAATTCACCTTCGGCTGGTATCGTTTGTTAAGAGTCCCCTGTAAATCCACTTTCGGCTGGTCTCTTTTCTTTGTAAGTTATCTTTTGATCGACTTTCTATTCGAAGTCAATGTCTATTTGCATCCTCAATAAGTTCGCCTTCGATTGGTGTTCCTTCTTCAGAGCCTTCTTCGGTCGGCCTCTTTCTTGGGTATGTCTAACCTTGACCTGACATCCAAGAGATTTACTCAGCTGACTACTGCGATCCAAAAAAGCAAAAAATATAATAATAAAAACATATAATAGAAAATGAAAAATATAATAACACCTGACTGGCTTCAGAGCGCAAATTTCTGGGTACTTTCAAGTATTTAATCTTCTTTTACCTTGAAAGTTTGAAAGGCTGACGCCAATCTCACCTTCAGGTCTAAGACGATTATATAGGGGCAGCTGTTGCACCCCAAAATTTTCCCTCCTAGTTTCTTATATTTGGCTTAGGCTTAGCATTGCATTCATATCTTTTCATTAGGTTATTAACATACATTTGCGTTCAATAAAGCGCCTGAGGTTCGAAGTTCAGTGGTTGCGCGATATTAGGGTTTCGCAGCGGTTAAGGTGTTCATATCCAATAAAGCTTGATTCTTCTGATTATCCTTCAAGCAGTAAAATGTGGAATTAGGATCGCAACATATGCTTATTGAGGGTTCCGTCCTCTTCAAGTTAAGGGGGTTATTACTCATTCAGATACATTCAAGACAAGAGTCGGAGTGTTTCTCCACCAAGTTTGTGCTTGTCAGCATTTCATCAACCGAGGTTCATTAGGTTTTCTAAGTCATGGCCATCTTGGTCATATTTCTTTCTATATCCCCCTGTTCATTTCCAAGTTATTCTACGAGGTCACCTAAGGACTACCAAATCAGGCATTCATCATCTCCTTGTGCTCAACGTTATCCTTTGATTAGAGTTTATTTCTCTAAATCATGTACCATTCAGGAGAGGTTTCTCTGTGAAGTTGTGATTATCAGGCTAGGCTATCGTCAAGGGATATCATCCACGAATAACCAGGGTTTCAATTGATATATCTTTGGAAAATACGAAGGAAATCATTGCTTAAGTCTCTAGTCATGTGGGCAACAACTCTATTCTAGAAAAGAAGATTCAGTTGGACCTTCTTCACGAATTAGGGATCGTATGCCTTATAATGCAAACCTCTTCATCTGGTCGATTGGCTTACTTGCGATATAATCTATTTTCTTCGGATTTCATTTCAATGCTTTGAAGATCAAAATCTAAAAGATTTGTGTGGAAGTTTAGGATTTATATCCTATCATACTTGGGTTTATCAACATATTCAATGGAGGTTCATGGAATGATAAGGCATGATATAAGGAGGGTGTTGTGAATTCATTATGATCAAGGGCATTATCGTTATAAATTGGTTGATCGCTTGTATTGCGAGTTAGCTTGGAGGTGAGAAGTAAAATTAAGGTTTTTTTCAAGACATGATACTTTGTGAGATCACCGGTTATCGAGTCAAAGGCTTATAGATTGAATTTCAAAATATTAAATCATGATTCAAAGAACAATTTCGGTGGGTTCATTGTTATGCTTGTTGCTCGCAAGGCAAAAGGTTAGTAATTGATTGGTTTTGTTAATTGAAGATTGGTTTAAAATTGTTCATCCAAGTTTCATTTATGTTCCAAGTTAAGATTCGAAGGAAATTCATATGGAATACAAGTTGCAGATTGCAAAAAACCACCATGGTTCATCCAAGTTCACCTCTGATTCAAAGTTTATTGCAATTTGAAAGTCTATCCCAAGGGATTGTCTAGTTACATTTACCAAGGCACATTGAAAAATGGAAACATGCCTTCACCTTATGTTGCTTTCGGCTATTGAGATACGTAAGGAGCATATATTTTTGAGATAAATTTACAAATTAAAAATCCGAATCACATTCTTCATACAATTTTCAATGTTCATTCAAAATTCAAGTTTGAACCAAACCTCCGTAAACCTCTTTTTGCTAATAGTTTTTTTTATTCAAAACTTGAACATAAACTCTTGGTTCAAATAATTCCAATAGCCAAAAGCCATCACCGTTTAGATTACCAAAATAAACCATTACAAAATCATCAAGGAATAATTATACAATTTTTTTGGTTCCAAGCCTAATTCTAAACCTATTCTTCAAGCCTTCGAGCTGCCTCGTTTCATCTTCATGATTTAACCTTCTCTTGCTCCCTTCAAAAGTTTTCCCTAAGCTCCAAGAACCAAATAGAATTCCTAACAATGACCAGCCCTGCACAATTGGAAATTCAGTCCAAAAATTAGAATCACAAAACCAATCAAAGAGGGAAGCATAATGGTAAATCAAAAGTTTTAAGAAATTCAAAATCTGCAGTGGCTCAGATGAAAAATGGAGAATAACTGAATGCATCGGCCGTAAACAACTTCCGTTATGACAATTCTATAGGATTGTTAACCAAGAAATTTGTCAGCTTGATCCAAAATGCTATGGATGGTACCCTTGATCTAAATAAAACCGTTGAGGTTTTAGAGGTTCAAAAAAGGAGAATTTATGACATTACAAATGTTCTTGAAGGAATAAGATTGATATAGAAAAACTGAAAGAAAGAGAAGTCACATTACTCAGTGAGAAGGATGTATTAATCAATAAGGTTGAGAGCTTACAGACCGTTGTCGATTTGAAGCATCGGGAGATAGAAGACCTTGTTAAATCGAATCTTATAGAAACAAGGGGCTTAGTGTTGGAGGTGGATGATGTGATTACAGAGGTCCAGTAGGCGATGAAGGAAAATTTTACCTCTTTAGCTTGTGATATAGAATGCTTAAAGTCTCAATTTATATGTTCCACTAAGTCGATACAACCATGGCTTGAGAAGATCTGGTCTGAGATAGTTAATAAATATTGTGCGATGTTTGTACTACATCTCTGTCACATGAGTGTTCTTCTGGAAACAGTAACGGGAATGCATGCAGCAAATGGCTTACTTTCGCATGGCTTGTGTGAATCAAACTCTGTCATAAGTGATCTGAAGGAGCATAATTGTAGAACAAGGGAAGAACTAGAAATGTGCAGAACCTTGAAAGGGAAACTGCTTGCTGATATCCAGAGTGGTTTTGATCGCATCAGTAGGAAAGAAGTGGAAGCTGGAGAGATCACCATCAAGCTAAACACGTTTGCTAAAAAATTATCAGATCTACAGCTTCAAGAGGAGATGATGCTGCAAAGGTCTAATGAAATTGGATCCCAACTTGCTATGTTAATGAGGGAATTGGATCTGAGTAATACCGATCTTGTGGTTTCCCTTTTAGATCAATAGAAAACTAACCAAACAGAAAGCTAACAACAAAAAAACCACTAACAGTTTTTCTCTAACCGTTTCTAACTTGTAACAAATTAACAGAAACTCAACATAATTTTATTAAAAGCTAACAGCTAACTAACAATTTTCTAACTGCTAACAGAACTCACCTAACTGTTTTAACTGTAACAGAAACTAACTCTCAACTATTTTTCTACAAAAAAAATAGATTTTCTCCTAACAGATTCTTAATAAACTGAAGCCAACCTCCTAGCTATGTTCTAACAAACTTATAACGGAAGAGGAGAGGGAGAAGAAACAGGGTTTTCATAACAGAATCTGAACAAATTTTCTAACAGAATCTGAATAAATTCTCTAACTCTCTAAACAACTTACAACTAACCTCAATCTCACCATTAATCTCCATAACAAACTCTCATCATCCAAGGGCTCAGGTTCATTCTTCATATAACTGATTTCAGATTCCCCTTCAACTATATAATCTCAACTCCCTCCAAAAATCGGGGGGCACGATTCATTTGTTACAGAATACAGGAAGAAAAGAACTCACCAACAAACTTTGAAATTCTCTCTTCCTCCATCACCAAAGTCTCCAATCTTCATCTACTTCTACACATCTCTCACTTCTGTAACCTTCACCAATCTTCCCCCTTTCTCTCTCTCGTTCTTCACCATATACTGCAATCTTCATCGATCTTCCCTCTCTCTTTGCATCATCTTCGACACTGTAAGAGCAGATCCATACATCTTCATCTTTATCATTTTGCACCTTCAACACTTTTGCAATGGAGAGAATCTGCACACCATCAATACCGAAACAACAAAAAATGCAGAATAATTGAGCAGTTCAAGAATCGGGAAGAAGAATCAAAGAAAAAACAGAATTCACTAAGGCGACGCTTACTTGTTTTTATTCGCAGAGATTCCTTTGGATTTCTCGACATCGGCATCATGTTGAAGATGCACTAGCCGATTCATCAATAGGTAATTACTCTTCATTCTTTCCATATGTGTTTTTGTTCTCAAAAAGCGAATTGCGGCGAAGTTGTGCGGAGAGGTGAGCGAACTTGAAGCGTGACGAAGCTAAGAGAATCAAAGAAGAATCTGTGAGTCATGGTTCGAGATGGAGGACGAAGCCGTTGTAACGAAGAAGATGGTGGCACATTGAAGGGTGCACAGAGCGAAGCGGGATGGCTGTGATGTGTCATCGGAGAAGAGGAAATCGGCTGCCGCGCCGTGTTGAAGAGAGTGAAGGATGGAGATAGTGCTTGCGAAGGAAGATGTGAAGAGTCGCCCCTAACTGAACCCTAAGTTGCTTCAAAACGATATCGTTTCCTTCATTTAATTATTCTCTTTAATACTTTATTTTTAATTAGTAGATAAATGCAATGCAATGTTGATTAAGGAAATGGAGAATGGGTTAACTATTGTATCTTTGGGCTGACTGAATCACCCTTCTTCTGGGCCCAAAGGGAATTTTTGTAGCTTCTTGGCGAATGCAAAAAAAGACCATTGGGTCACATTGAATGGGCCTAACATTCGAATTTTGGATCTGCATTACATCTCAATCAATTCTGCACCCCCTGATCCTACCTTTTCTTTATCAGATCTAGCATTTAATTTTTTTATGATAAAACAATATATAAAGTAATAAAATAATAATAAAAGATAATAGAAATTTTTAGGAATCAATTCTTTAATTTTTCTATAATTTTACTTTTGTAAAAAAACTAATAATAGAAAATACTTTTTCTTTCTTGTTTTCATCCGTATTTTCATGCCGCTTTGCCATATTATTTTTGACGCATTTTTTCATTGTGCGAGGAACTTCCTGATTATGCATTGTATTTGCAACACGCGTTTGCCTTTATCTTAGTTGGATATTCATTCTGACTCTTTTTGTTTCTTGGTGAAGCTTGTTCGACGCGTACTCCCTGCTTTTTCAGTGCTTTCATCTGCTCTTGACGACTTGCTCGCTTTGGTAGCCTCCGCTACTACCCTTGTACTTCTCCGTACTTTATCACGTTTCTTTACTGCTTTCTAGAAATCATGAGAAACCTGGGCTTTACCGCAAACCATATGCGTGCTAACATTAGGTAGAGATATCCTTGTTGTTTATCCAAATCTTAGGACCACCATTGTATGATAACTTTAGGTTTAGAAATAGGCTAGTCTCCCATTGACTTTTCTTTCCACTCTTTGCATATACATCTAAAGCTAAAACTTCTTTTTCTTTCAAACTTCAAAATACTAAAAAAATTTCTGACGAGAATCATATCTTCGTTAAGTATGTGAGACGATAAGCGGGTTTCTTCTCGACCTTATTGTTCTCTTATTATAAGCTTTGGTATGGTTCAAGTCTCAAAGACTTATTTCAAGAATAAGTTGAGAAATGGCTAAAATCTCTCTCTTAAGATCAACTAGTTGTTATCCACAAGCAAAAACACCAACAAATACAAAACTCTTTTCGCCTTTGGGATTTTATTTTAAAACGTTTTCAAGAGCATGTTAATTCACTTTTGTGCTGACGCGTAAGTCTCCAAAGGTCGAGTTGCGGCAGAAGGCGAAATTAATACTGTTCATTAAAAAAATACAAACCAACCAAAACATGTGAGCCGAACTACGGCTGCTTTGATTCCTTAAAAGGGATACGTAGGCATCAGGGTAGGGCCCGAACAAGCACAACTTTTACTTTCCCTACATTCTTTTCTCATTTCTTTTGCATGCATTCCCTGTACAGCTTAGACATAGATTTTACACACCCATTAGATTAGACAACAAGAGTGGATACCATAGAGTACTACGGGTGTGTGGGGTGCTAATACCTTCCCCTCGCGTAACAGACTCCCTTACCCTTATCTCTCGGTCGCAAGACCGTGACTTCTCCCTTCTCAGGTTTTCTCGATGTTTACCTTTCCCTTCCTGTGGGATAAAAAGCGTTCGATGGCGACTTCATTGTTTGATGATTTTCAGCCGGTTGTTTCAGACGCGCCCACAGACCAACCTGAAGAATCAATAGAACCAGAAAATAGAAAAACCAAGAAGTGAAAGCTAAAGACTTAAACAACCGATTCCATATCCTCAAAGACTTAAAGCAACCAAAATTTAAAGTCAATATCAAAAATTCATAAAGATAATAGAGAAACTCCATATAGAGATTCCTTTCACCGAAGCCATCACCCAAATTCCATCTTATGCAAAACTCCTCAAAGACATCTTGACCAATAAACGTAGGCTTAACGATCCCAAACCCTTAGAATGCAACTCTATTTCTGAAAATAAACTTTCTAAGAAGCAGAGAGACCCTTTAAGTTTTTATATACCTTGTGCTTTAGGGAGTCATGTTATCGACAAAGCATTTTTAGACTTAGGTGCTAGCGTAAGCCTAATGCCTTTAGCAGTTTGTAAGAGGTTAAACCTAGGAGAATTACAGCCGACTAAGGTATATCTTCAATTAACCGAAAAATCTGTTAAATATCCAATATACATATTAAAAGACATCCCAGTTAGAATTAGGAAATTGTACATCCCAATTGATTTTATGGTCATGGACATTAAAGAAGATGACGAAATCTCAATCCTCCTAGGTAGACCATTCGTATCATCAGCCAGAGCCATAATAGATGTTAAGAGAGGAAAATTAAATTTTGAAGTAGGTGATGAAAAGATAGAATTTATTCTTTCAAAATCCCTAATGGCACCAGCCATAGGAGACGCATGTTATGCTATCGACATCATTGATGAATTCATAAGGGAATTAGACAAAGAAGAACCTACAGAAACAATCAAATTACCTTCGACCCCCACAATGGAGGATGGTGGATTTAAAAAAAACGAACCCTACATTGATGACAACCTCTATGAATGTTTATCCCTTACTCCAGATCCTATACCATGCCATAAGAGACCATCTCTAGAACTTAAAGAACTACCCAAGAATCAAAGATATTAGTTTTTAGATGAAGGAATGAACCGTATGGTTATAGTTAGTGCCACCTTAAACCAAGATGAAATAAATCAACTCTTAGATGTCTTACGAAAATATCCCTCAGCCTTAGGGTATAACATCTCTGATCTAAAAGGATAAGCCCATCTGTATATATGCATCGAATTTTATTAGAGGAACATTCTAAACCCTCCAGAGAGCATCAAAGAAGGATAAACCCTATAATGAGTGATGTTGTTAAGAGAGAAGTGCTTAAGTTACTAGAGGCTGGTATAATTTATCAAATTTCAGACAGTAAGTGGGTAAGCCTTGTGCATGTGGTTCCAAAAAATGGAGGTATCGCAGTCGTGCAAAATAAGAAAGGCGAACATGTAGCTAAACGTCTAGAAGGCGGTTGGCGTATGTGCATAGTGTAATATGGTGGGAGAACAAACTTGGTGTTTTGTGCTTTATCGCAATTGTTGTAGATATCAAGATTTGCCACCGACTTTTCTTTTATCTAATAAGGAAAGAGTGAAAAGAACAGGAAAGACCTTTGAGATATTTTCTTGAGTTCGTGGGGGGGGGGGGGGGGGGGTAGGTTATGAAAAGGGGAGGTGTTAGCACCCTTTTCATCTGTAGTTATCTACGGGCTCTTAGTTTCTTTCTATATCACTTGAAATGGTTTGTTTGAAAATGTGTTTTGTAATGGGTGCGAGTTTGAAAATATTTTGAAAGCGTCTTTGTTTCGGTAAACTTTGTAATGATTATCGTCTCTATAAGAATGTATACAAAGTGTTGGTTTTGAAAATATTTCAAAGAGATGTTTGTTTTTGAAGAGTTTTGAAAGTGTAAGTGTGGAAATGGTTTTAATTTACGAGCAAGCAACTACGAGTGTCCTACCTACTCAAAATGTTTATGTTCTTTTCCTTCTCCTTTAGATGTTTCTATCTTGCCATTGATTTGGTAAGAAGCCCTATCGTTGGATGTGAAGGGACAGGCGTGGGTCATTGTATAGTCATGAATTGCAATATTTTGAGATATCTTAGCATTTCTCTTAAGGGACTAAGAT